TTTAATTGGTGATTTGAGTAATTTCTGGAATAGTCAATTATAAAATTCAATTATCTTCAACTTTCAGGTCAGGAAAATATCGGAAGTTCAGGTAATAAATCCTCTGAATTTTTCATCTTCGATATTCTTTTAAATTTTCAATTCCATTAAAATCCAATTTCTGATGTTGAAATTTGACGATAAATAAAAAATATATAAAAAAACCCGAATTTTCTCGAATTTTCAAGGCGAATAAAATTCCAGCGACCGCTTTTAATTAAAATTCAATTGAATCTCGAACAATCGAAAATTCGAAATGAGAAAATAAGATCTTGTTTACGTGCAATTACTCGGGTTATTAATTTATTTATCGCAGTACCTACTTTCAACTTTTTTAACATTCAATTGAGGTACCAAAATCATTGTTGCTAATGACTTGGCAATTTGTTTTGGAATAAATAAATTCTCAAGACGTGGAATATTTTATCCTCTAAAAATTTTCCGTTACTAATGACTAAAACGATTTGTTAATTACGTGTCAATGCACAGCCATTATTGAAATCAATAATTACAAAAAAAGTTGACGCATTCGTTATCGAAAAAATCATCTAAAGATTCTGTTAACATTTGACATAAAAGACTGATTACGTTGTTATTTAATGAGATAATGATAAATAATGCTGATCCCACGATTTACCAATTCGATTCACAGAGGATTATGATAAGCCTTCATAGTTGGATCATTTTTGTCGATGATTTTTATTGAAGAATTGCACAAACAATATTTCGTTTATGTATTAATATTTATCTTAATGCGCAATGAGATTTCCATCGTCTTCTGATAAAATCAGAGGGCATTGACATCAGCTTTTTAAGTCGATGTCGACTGTCACAATTAATTCTAATTAAAAATTAAATGACTCAAGGGCCAGGTGGACAATCTATTGAACGTCGACTTTTGTTTAAATTTTATCTGTTAAACCTAAAATACATTAAAATTTGGGATGAATTTTGTGTTGTGGGAAGCACTTGAATGGACATGAAAAAATAATGAAAAAAGAGAGGAAAAATTATTGAAGGGCGCTAAAGATCGATATTATTTAAAAGGGATTTACCAAGTCTGCTAAAAAATAATAAAAAATACGTAGCTTACTATTGCATCTAGCTGTCACTCAATCTTCTGGAGAGCAATGGTAAGCTGCGTAATTTTTATTATTTTTTTGTTAAACTTGGTAGATCCCTTTTAAACAATATCGCTCTTTAGCGCCCTTCAATAATTTTTCCTCTTTTTTTTCATTATTTTTTTATAACCATCCGAGTAGCTCCCGCAACACAAATTTGATCCCAAAGTTTAATGTATTTTAGGCTAAAAATATCCAAAAAACGATTTATGAATTATTTTCAAAATTTGAGACGAATATTTAAAAAAATGAAACGCAACAGTAGTTTTTCAAAGTGTTGAGGAAATTTAACTCATCGGTAATACAAATTTCTGCAAATCAATTATCGTAATGAATTAATTATAATTATATTAAAAATAAATTTCGTCATTCTCCCAGTGAAAATTCATCAAATTTTCCATAAACAAAAAACTCTCCTAGCGAATTTCTTTTGACTTGAACAACTCCAATTCATTCGTTTGAACAAGAACAACCGAATGTTTGATCATTACAATAACAATAACAATGAGGAGACATTTTTCAATGAATTTTGTCCGCACATAATTCATATCATCATTTATTCTAACACCTCCAATTACCGGTGATAATTCAATGATCAACAAAAACGACCATTAACGTATGAATTATTCCCTTATTTTATTTACTCATTTCCATGTTTATCTCATCGCAACATTTCATTCTATGAAAGCCTGCAGGAATGGCGATAAATTCCCAGATAAATTGATGCATTCACAAATTGCTGAAAAGAATTTGAATAAAAAATAGTAAAATATTTTCATAGTTTCTCCTATAATACCATGCAATCAGGACTTTTCCGCTGACGAAATCCTTTGGAGAAAATATCCCTCCCACTTTTCATCTTGTGTTCTAAATAAATGGAATGTAAATCTACATTTTTCTCGTGTTATTTTTTTCTCATGCCTTTTAACGATATATGTCTAGAAAAGCCTCTGATTCTATCTTGAAGATATTATTTTTGGAATAGCTCCATCATAAAAAACTTATCTTGATGAGTCTTGATGAGTATTAACACCGTTAATAGCTGCAATGAACAATCAACGAAAAGTTCTAAAAATAAGTCATCAAATATCATCGGATATTTCGTAATTGAATTTCAGTGAGTTTTTATTGTCTCATTCATCTGACCATCTATTCTTTCCAGAAATGTTATTCGACCTCATCCGTAGGTCTTCAATAGAAATATTAATTAATCTCGACGATTTTTTGGCAAAAAATTTATTGATTTTTCCAGAGTAGAGTAGATCATAATAACTTCTGAATGAAATATCAACTATGTGATTCGAAAAGTGTCAATTCTTCGCGTGATTGACTTCACTCGATTAGTAAAAAATAAAAAAAAAAACATTTTGAAAAAAACCGCCGTCGGGCTACTCTGATTAATCTAGAAGAGCTCGAGAGGATTCAAATGATATTAAAGAGTTTCCGATAATTAGAACTGATGAGAAAATTCAAGAGATAAACTTAACGCTTTATTTAGGAATACTCCAAAATTAACCAAAATTACCGGTTTTTTGTTTTCTGAAAAATTGTTTATCAGATTGACCCGAATAATATATTGA